TTTTATTTATTTATTTATTTATTTATTTATTTATTTATTTATTTATTTATTTATTTATTTTCTTTTCTTTTTCTTCTCTTAATATTAACTGTATTATAATAAAAGAAGGAAGATAAATAACAACTAAATAATTAATAATTAATTTATTAATAATAAATAAATAAATAAATAACTAATTAATTAATAATAAATAAATAAATAATAAACTAATTAACTACTTAATTATTTATTTATAAGAGATTGGTCATAAAAAGAAGAAGAAAAAAAAAAATAAATAAATAAAACAGTTAATTGTTATATTTTTGTTTTTTTCTTCTTTTTACCCCTTATAGGCAAATAAGTTATTTATTATATTTATATATGTATATAAATATACATATATATATAAATATACATATATATAAATAAATATATATATATGTATATATACGTATATATGCGTACATATATACGTATAGTACATTCATTACTGCAGCATAATACATATTATATACATATAAATATGTACTTATTAATTAATTAATTAATTAATTAATTAATTAATTAATTAATTACTCTATTTAATTAATTAATTAATTAATTAATTAATTAATTAATTAATTAATGCTGTATATGTCTAGAAGGAATACCCGCAGGAGGAATCCAATTAATAGAAGATAAGGGAAGACACCTAATAAAAAAAAAAAAAAAAAAAAAAAAAAAAAAAAAAAAAAAAAAAAAAAAAAAAAAAAAAAAATAAATAAATAAATAAATATATAAATGAATAAATAAACGAATAAAACAATAGATGTATAAATAATTTATTTTATTATATTTATATATTTATTTACTTATTTAATATTCTATTTTATTATATTTTTATATTAAGATCTACATACGCATGCATGCATGCATGCATGCATGCATGCATGCATGCTGCTGCTGCTGCTGCTGTTGCTGCTGCTGCTGTGTATTTTCTTACTTATAATCACGAGGGTCAAGACTCCAACAGACAGATTCAGCTTCTTCTTCCTCTTCTTCTTCTTGCTGCTGCTGCTGCTGCTGCTGCAGATCGGATAGGGAAAGTGGCTGTTGCTGCTGCTGCTGTTGCTGCTGCTGATTGTTGTTGCTGCTGCTGCTGTTCTGCAGCTGCAGCGCAGCAAGTGTGTCTTGCAGGTCTTGTACCTGCTTCCTTAATTGCTGCACATGCTGCAGCAGCATATCTTCTTGCTGCTGCAGCAGCAGATCGCAAGAAGCAGCAGCAGCAGTCTGTGCTGCTGCTGCTTCTTGAGGATATCTTGCTGCTGCAGCAACACTTCTGCTTCTTCCTGCAGCTCCTCCTCTCCTGTTAATTCCTATGGTGGCCCCTTGGGGGGCCCCTATTGGGGCCCCCTGGGGGGCCCCTCGGGGGCCCCCTACAGGAGTACCCACTGCAGAGAGACGCCCACAGCTACAGTTAAGACATCCTCCTGTTGCATGCGGCCTTGCTGCTGCTGCTGCTGCTGCTGCTGCTGCTGCTGCTGCTGTTGCTGCTGTTGCTGCTGCTGGTTCTCCAGCATAGTCTGAGCAACAATAAACAACACATACATAAGCGCACGCATGCACGCATGCATGCAAAAAAAGCCCCAAAATACTGCATGCAGCAAACAAATAAAAATGTAATTACCTGCTGCTGTTGCATTTCTTCCCCGTAGTCTGCTGCGTCTGCTGCTGCTGCTGTGCTGCGGTGCAGCAGCAGCAGCAGCAGGAGCATTGTCTTCATCAGTGCTGCTTCCTTGTCCATCAATCTCCTGCTGCAGTTGCTGCTGCACCTGCTGCATATGCTGCAGCTGCTGCTGCAGCTGCTGCAGTTGCTGCAGCTGCCTATACTGCTGGTACCTATTACTACGCCTCCTGCTGCTGCCTAAACTGCTGCAGCGCGAGCAGCTAAGAGCATTACCATTCTGCTGCTGCTGCTGCTGCTGCTGTTGCTGCTGCTGCTGCTGCTGCTGCTGCTGCTCTCTATTAAAGATAAGAGCCTCCGTAAAGATGCCTGTATTATCCGAAGATCTAACCATGGGTGCCCACCATGGCCCTTCTTCTTGCTGCTGCTGCTGCCTCCTTCTGCTGCTGCTGCTGCTGCTGCTGCTGCTGCTGATGCTGCTGCTGCTCCTTAATGGTATAAATGGTGTTGCTGCTGCCTTAATAGATATATATTGTTTATTATTAGGAGATAAATAACGACAAAAAGAATCTCTTGTCTCTGTTAGCCATAGGGAAGGAGACAAGGAATAACCTGCAGGCCTGTAGGCAGCAGCAGCAGCAGCAGCAGCAGCAGTAGCAGTAGCAGTAGCAACAGCAGCAGAAATGGAGACAGCAGCAGCAGTAGCAGCAGCATTAACGGATACAGCAGCAGCAGCAAGAAAGGAGACAGCAGCAGCAGCACTAGACTAAACGCCGCAGCCTGTTGCTGCAAAGGCAGCCGCTGCAAGTAGCGCATGCAGAGCTGCAGCAACAGCAACAGCAGCAACAGCAGCAAGAGGATGTAGAGCAGCAGCAGCAGCAACAGCAGCAACAGCAGCAGCAGCAGCAGCAGCAGCGAATGCAGATTTACCATTGCATGATTTGTTTAACTTCATCAGCAGCAAATAGCTGCCGCTCTTCTGCTGCACCATCCAACATTGGCGCACCCATTGCTGCTGCTGCTGCTGCTGCTGCTGCTGCTGTTGCTGCTGCTGTGGCTGCTGCTGCTGATGCTGATGCAGGTGCTGCAGTAGATGATACTTTGTATGCTGGAGCTGCAGCTGATGCTGCAGTTGCTGCTGCTGTTTGCTGCTGCTGTTGCTGCTGCTGCAAATGCTGCTGCAGCTGGTATACCGGAGTTTAGGGAAGCTGCTGCTGCTGCAGCTAGAGATGCTGCTGCAGTTGCTGCTGCTGCTGCAGGTTTGTCTCCCTATTAACTTTCCAGCAGCAGTTGTGTGCATGCAAGCAGCAAGAGAAGTTACTGCAGCATTGCTGCTGCTGTCGCTGCTGCTGTTGCTGCTGCAGCAGAAATACTAAAAGTATAATAATAATAAAACTCAACTTAGCTGCTCTTACTGTTGTTGCTGCTGCTGTTGCTGCTGTTGCTGCTGCTGCTGCAGCAAGAACCTGCTGCTGCAGCAAGAACCTGCGGTGTCCGTCAGACTATATATAAGAACTCTTTATCTATTAGCAGCAGCAAAGAATAAATAAATAAATAAATAAAAAGAAAATAAAAATAAAAAAGAATTAAATATTAATTAAAATAAAAAAAAAAGAATAGTTTAATATACACCCCAAGCTCGGGTGTACGCGCAGCTGCTGCTGCTGCAGCAACAGCAGCAGCAGCAGCAGCAGCACGAGACCAGTGGCTCAACTAAAAGAGCAGCAACACTGCTGCTAATTGCATGCGCTGCAGCAGCTAATGGGGCTTTTTTATTATTTATAAATAATAATTAACTTCTTTTATTATAAATATAATAAACAACATAAAGAAAACAAACTCCTCATGCATGCAGCAGCAGCAGCAGCAGCGGCTGCTGCTGCTGCTGCTGTGCTGCTGCGGCGGCCTCAATCCTGCTCTCGCTGCTGCTGCTGCTGCTGCTGCTGCTCTAAATCGTTTATTTTTTACCCATAAATTTAAATATATTATTAATAATTAATTTATATTTATTTATAAATAAATAAATATAATAAATAAATAAATAAATAAATTAATTAATTTATTTATTTATTTATTAATTTACTTATTGGTGGCTCGCTGTCACCGTGCTCACATTCAGGTGTACAGGCAGCTCCCCTTATTTATTTTTATTCTTTTTTATTTCTTTTAATTAAATAATAATTATATTTATTGTTATATGTTAATTATTAATGCATGCATTTATGCAACAGCAGCAACAGCAGCAGCAGCAACTCTTTTTGCTTCTGCTAGCTAGCTAGCTATATTTATTACTTATATACAATAGCTGTATATATAAGCAACAAAAGCTTTATACTATCAGCCAGTCACAGAGAGCAGCAGCAGCAGCAGCAGCAGCAGCAGCAGCAGCAGCAGCAGTTGAGAGCAGGCTGTAGCTAGCTGCAGACAATTATGTTACCCTATAGCTAGCTATGATGTGTAGCAGCTAGCTGCTGCTGCTGCTCCTCACAGCTATAAGCCAGTTATACACAGGAGCAGCAGCAGCAGCAGCAGCAGCAGCAGCTGCTGCTGCTGCTGCTGCTAAGAGGAGCCACCTTCCTTAGGTCTCCCCTTGAGCAGGGCTCTCCCTATTAACTAGCTAGTTACCTAGCTAGCTAGCTAGCTAGCTAGCTAGCTAGCTGGCTAGCTAGCTAGGCAACCAGCTAGCAACATAGTTAGCTAGCTAGCCACGTAAATAGCTAGCTAGCTGGACGTCGACCATGTTGCTACAGCAGCTGCAGCAACTGCAGCAGCAGAACAAGCAGCAGCAGCAGCAGCAGCAGCTAGAGGAAAGGTAATATATAATATTTATATATATAATTATTTATAATAAAGTTTCTCCTTTTTATATAAATAATTGTCTCCTTTTTGTCTCCTTTTTTTTCTTTATTTGTCTCCTTATATGTATTTATTTATTTATTTATTTATTTATTTATTTATTTATTTATTTATTTTATTTATTCTCCCTTTATCTGTTTTTGTCCCTAAACCCCAAACCCTAAACCCTAAACCCTTATTATATTTATGTGTCTCCTTTTTGTCTCCTTTTTGTCTCCTTTTTGTCTCCTTTTTGTCTCCTTTTTGTCTCCTTTTCCTCTCCTTTTTATGTCTCCTTTTTGTCTCCTTTTTTTGTCTATTTTTGTCTTTTTTCCTCCTTTTTATTTATTATATTATTTGCATGCAAAGAGGCAAAAAGTTTTTGCTGTCCCTTTATTGTAACAGCAACAGCAGCAGCAGCAGCAGCAACAGCAACAGCAGCAGCAGCAGCAGCAGCAACAGCAGCAGCAGCAGCAGCAGCAGTTGGAGTATTAGTAGTATTGGCAGCTCTATACTTATTAAAAGGGGACACTAAATAAATCAATGCATGCATTTGCTGCTGCTGCTGCTGCTGCTGGCAGCAAATGTGTCTCCTTACAGCAGCAAACAATAATATATAAATAAATAAATAAATAAATAAATAATAATTATATATAAATAATAATAATAATAATAATAATAATATAAGGAGGTATTCAGGGGTTAATATAACAGCAGCAGCAGCAGCAGCAGCAGCAGCAGAAGCAGCAGGAGCAGCAGGAGATTTATAATTAAGAAGGAATAAAAGGAGACAATTTAATTAAATTGTCTCCTTTTAGCAGCAAAAAATAATAATAAATAAGGAGACAGCAGCAAGGCCCCGCCCGAGGCCCTGCTGCTGCTGCTGCTGCTGCTGCTGCAGCCCCCTTTTGCTGCTCGGCAGCCGGAGCAGTAGCAGCAACAGCAGCAACAACTGCAGCAGCAAGAACAGCAACAACAGCAACAAATGCAGCAACAATAGCAGCAAATAATATTATTAATTAGGTGTCTCCTTTTGCTGCTTCTCTTTCTCTCTCTCTCCTCTGCACGGCAAAGGGTGTGCTGCTGCTGCTGCTGCTGCTGCTGCTGCGGTGTCTCCTCTCCATATACATTGAGTCTCTTTGCTGCTGCAGCAGCAGCAGCAGCAAAACCACCAGCAGCAGCAGCAGAAATCTATTATTATAATCAGCAGCAAGAGCAACAACAGCAGCAAAAGTTATTATTCTCTTCTCTTGCTGCCCGAGCTGCTGCTTGGGTCTGCTGCTGCTGCTGCTGTTGCTGCTGCTCCTGCTGCAGCAGCAGTAGGAGTTCTTTTTGCTGAATTTTTCTTATTAATTATGTTAATAAATAGATAAATAAATAAGTATAAATAAATAAATAAATATAAATAAATAAATAAATAAGTATAAATAAATAAATAAATAATAATGGGTATAAAAGGATATATTGCTGCTGCTGCATTTGCTGCATACTGCCTATACACCTCAATTAGTATATACACTACAATTTCTCCTCCTATTGCTGCAGATATATTAGATAATCCTTCTATTAATAATAATAATAATAATAATAAATATAATAATGTTGTCTATAATCAGATCAAGGTAAGACAACTTATTCCTGCTGCTGCTGCTGCTGCTGCTGCTGCTGTGTTGTTGCTTTTGCTGTTCTTGTTCTGTTGCTGTAGCTGCTGCTGTTGTTGCTGCTGCTGCTTACTCATACGCGCATATGCACATGCAGCAGCAGCAGCAACTCCGCATGCAGCAGTTGCTGCTGCACCATCAGCAGCAGCAACAGCAGCAGCAGCAGCAGAGTCACCCGTGCTCCATCAGCAGCATTATCAACAGCAGCAACAGCAGCAACAGCAGCAGCAGGACTTTTCTGTGGGGTCTTCCTGTGCTCGTGATTGTGCGTATTCTCCTTCTCCCCCATCTGCTGCTGCTGTTTGTGCTGCTGCTGCTGCTGTTGTTGCAGGAAGGAGAATTATTAACATATAATTTAGTACTGTCTCCTTTTGCTGCTCTCCCTCCTCTGCAGCAACTGCAGCAGCACGTAGTATGGCAAATAAAGAAGAATAATTCCTTACCTAAGGATTTTTTTTTCTTAGGTACTGTCTCCTCTATGCCATATATATATGATGAGGAAAAAATAATAGAAAGGAGAATAGCAACAGAAGAAAGAAGAGAAGAAAAAAAAAAAGGAGATAAATACCTACAAGAAAAAGGGTTATATAATATATTTATTAATTATATTTATTTATTTATTTCTTTTTTCTCCTCTTTTTTCTCCTCTTTTTTCTCCTTTTTTTATTCATGGAGCCATTTCTTAACTATTAATCAAAACTTCTCAACTCTCTCTGCAGATATTCCCCTCCACTATAGGTAAAAAAAACAAAAAAAAAAAAAAAAAAAAAAAAAAAAAAAAAAAAAAAAA